CCAGCTAGCTACCCGATGAACCACGTGAATGTTCTTAACGCAGCAACGCGGCTGGCTAGCTGCTGCCAAGACCGAAGCTCAAGGAGAGCAGCTAGCTCCACAGCTAGCTAGCTAGCTAGCTAGCTAGCTATACAGCTAGCTACACAGCTAGCCATAGACGCGTACACCCAGCGAAGCGAACTCTGCAGCGCTGTGCCGGTTCATCGGAGGCCCACCTTCTGCATCTGCTGCAGCTGCAGCTGCAGCTAGCTAGCTAGCTAGCTAGCTAGCTAGCTAGCTAGCTAACTGGATAGCCAGGTAGCAAGGTATCTAACCAGCTAGCTAGCTAGCTAGCTAGCTAGCTAGCTAGCTAGCTATTGAAGCTACTGGCTGACGACAGCAGCTGCTAGCCGCTGCTACTGCTGCTAGCTGCTAGCTGCTGCTAGCTGCTGGTAGCTGCTGCTGCTGCTGCTGCTGCTGCTGCTGCTGTGCCAGTGCAAGCAGCAGCAGCTTTGGCGTTGCTGCTGCTGCAGTTTGTCTGCATGGAGACATTTGGACTTCCTTTTATTGAACATTTGCTGCAGATACCGCTGCAGTTCTAGGGTCTAGGGTTTAGGGTTTTAGGGTTTAGGGTTTAGGGTTTTAGGGTTTAGGGTTTTAGGGTTTAGGGTTTAGAGTATTCGTTTGTCTGCTGGCTCTCTCTCTCTGGCTTCTCCGTTTGTTTTGTTTTTTTTTTGTTTACGTTTTTTTTTATGCAACACCAGCAGCAGCAGCAACTGCAGCAGCAACAGCAGCAGCAGCAGCAGCAGCAACAGCAGCAGCAGCAACACGAACTAACAACAAATTAACAATTAGTTTTTAAGAATTGCTCAGCGGCGACTCCGCTGTTGTATTAATTAATCCCTTATACTGCAGCAGCAGCAGCAGCAGCAGCAGCAGCAGCAGCAGCAGTATCTGCTGCTGCTGCTGCTTTTGCTGCTGCTGCTGCTTCTGGAGGGTCGACGATTAGGCAAGCAAACGCCCCAGCATATGCTGCTGCNCTTTTGCTGCTGCTGCTGCTTCTGGAGGGTCGACGATTAGGCAAGCAAACGCCCCAGCATATGCTGCTGCGACTGCTGCAGCAGCAGCAGCAGCAGCAGCAACTGCTGCAGCAGCAGCTGCTGCAGCTGCTGCATATGAAAATAATTTGCTGCTGCTGCTGCTGCTGCTGCAAGCAGCAGCAGCAGTTGCTGCAGCAAACAGCTGCTGCAGCAGCTGCTGCAACGATTGTGTCAACAAAAGACGTCCATTGCGTAGCTGCTGCTGCATCTGCTGCTGCAGCAGTTGCTGCTGCTGCAGCACACGTTGCTGCTGCAGCTGCTGCAGCAGTTGCTGCTGCTGCTGCTGCTGCTGCTGCTGCTGCTATACGAGTAGCCGCATGAGCCTCTAAAACATATGCAAGACGGCCAGCCGCAACT